CCAACAAACAAGCCCTGCAAGACCCATCACAGCACAGAAACATAATCCCACCACCCAGCCCAAAACCACGCTGCAAACCCCACCCAGAACAGTTTTTAAAAAGCAGAAAGCAGCACCTTACCTTACCAGGCAGTCCCAAACCTCCTCTGATTGCACTCACTCTAACCATTGGGGTGAAAAGAGCTACAAAGAAGCAGCCTCTTTGCCTACCAACAGTTAGCAATTTGAATTCCCCGCCTTTTCCCCCTGTCTTTTTCTGTTCATAACTGGAAGCTCCAGCTGCAAGTCGAAGCAAAATTTTGCAGCCAGAGCTGGTCATAACTTGAAATGGTTGTATGTTGGGATGTTCATTAAGTTGAGACACTACTATATATTTTTCCATATTCCTACTAGGCCACTTAGGTGGCAGGAAGGGAAGAATGAGAAAGGATTGGCTGTAAGATCTCTCAAGGTACAAACATACTAAAATGACTACATAGTATAGCTGCAGTTCTGCGCACACTTACCTAGAACAGCATTCCCTTGAGCACTGGGGGACTTAATTCTGAGTAAGCTGTTTGCAAGATACCTTAGTATGGGCAGCAAATAGGAAGACAACAGAAACAACTTTGCTGGCATAAATGGCAATGGTGTCATCAACCCACAATGTTACTTTTTAATTTAATGTAATTCAAAATTACATTAAAAAAATCCACCCCCAGGTTCTGAGGTTCCCTAGGCAGATGACATCACCAGTTATACCCCCACAGCTGTGCCACCTGGATTTCAGTCAGTACAATTGTGAAAATTTAGTAGGTCCTATCTGTTCACTTACATAGGACACTGGAAGGACAGATCCTGGCACTGGAAGGACAGATCCTGAAGCTGAGGCTCCAATACTTTGACCATCTCACGAGAAGACTCCCTGGAAAACACCCAGATGTTGGGAAAGTTTGAAGGCAAGAGGAGAAGGGGACGACAGAGGACGAGATGGTTGGACAGTGTCATTGAAGCCACCAACATGACTTTGACCAAACTCTGGGAGGCAGTGGAAGACAGGAGGGCCTGTCATGCTCTGGTCCATAGGGTCACGCACCAATCTGCAAAGCTGTGTTACTAAACAAGATCTGTTCACTTGGCCTGATGAGAAAGCAGGCAAATAGCTGCACTGGTGGGTATAGATAGGCCCATAGGGGTAAGGGCAGCTACACTGAATATTCCTATTTTTCTGAGGATCTAACAGAACAGGTAGTTGTTTTGAATAAAGTGTTGGAGCTGCACAGAGAAGGACTTAAACTATACAAGACAAGAGAAAGTTATATCCCTCTGCTGCTTCATGTAGGTAGTTAACCTAAAATGACACCAACTGTTAATAAGCTTAAAAGAATTATCGGTTGCATTAACCTAACATGTAATGATGGGCAAGGTTGGTGATACCGACGCTCCTGGTGATACTAACTGCTTTTAGGCAACCATCTCCTTCAGAGAGCTGTCATTTCAGAACAAAAAGCCCAAGGCACTAGTGTTGCTTACTTATTACTAGAGTCCAGAAGAACACTAAATAAATCTTCAGAGCATTGCAATATATTCCTTGTTACATATTGGTAGGTTTCTGAAGCTTTCTTCCTATGTATTTGAAGTGAAGAAAAATGCTGTTAGAAACTATACAGTTAAGGCTAATCTACACAAATGTTTTAGTAAGGCAGATTTGAAAGACAGAATGACTACTTTAAGGAACTTAGGGATATGTTTTTGGTGGAGGAGGGAGCAACATTCTTCCATTGGTGCAGAGAGCAAGAAAAAGTACCTGATTTGGAACATGTTGATTGTGACAGCGTTACCATATTCTCCTATTCTCTGTAGTGGACACTTTACCCACACAACAGAAGCAAGCTTACCAACTAGCATACAGGTCAACAGGATCAGACCCCTCTCAAAGCAGTAGTACTAGGACCAAAGGAGTACTCCAATATTACGGCTATGATTCATCTTTTAAATATATTACAGGAAATAAACCGGTATTCATTTTTAAATGTGTCAAGACAGGAGTTGAGAGTTGATGCATGACCTATAAACAAGGCAACGACAACTGTGGCTCTGTGGGCTACATCCCTCTGCCATTATACTACTGAAATTCAGCAGTAAATCACTACAAGCCGTTTGATGAGAGTATAAAGCTTGCTTTAAAACAGGAATGGCAACGGTGACCTTCCAGATATTGTTGGATAGGACCTGCCGTAGTCCCACATTATCAGCTCTGCCAGCTAGGGCTGGTAGAAGTTGTAGCCTAACAATACCCGGAAAGTCGCAGTTGTCCAACCAGGCTTTAAGGAGAGCTCTTCTAGTTGCCGTACTTTTGGCAGTGCAATTATTAGCGGCATAGTTTTTGGACATGCCTTGGGAGGGACTGCTTGTAGCCTCCATGTTGCTGAAACCTCCTCTAGCCTGTGCCTAGACATATTGGAAAGAGTGCAGCGACAAACAGACATGGCTGACAAGTCTCTCCCCATGGCAAGCAAAGCTGAAGGTTTCTCAAAGCCTTTCCTTTGCAGACCAGAGGTGGAAGCAAATTACTGGATTCAGTGTTGTGTACCCCATTCATAACCAGGCATCAAGGAAAATCGTGACTTAAGTGCTATTATCCCGACATGCTACTTTCCTATACAAAGAACATTTTGTAAACTGGCAAAGAATTTTTTTTGAACTTCATATTCACATCTTTGAACTTTTTTTTTTGATGCATGACCTATAAACAAGGCAACGACAACTGTGGCTCTGTGGGCTACATCCCTCTGCCATTATACTACTGAAATTCAGCAGTAAATCACTACAAGCCGTTTGATGAGAGTATAAAGCTTGCTTTAAAACAGGAATGGCAACGGTGACCTTCCAGATATTGTTGGATAGGACCTGCCGTAGTCCCACATTATCAGCTCTGCCAGCTAGGGCTGGTAGAAGTTGTAGCCTAACAATACCCGGAAAGTCGCAGTTGTCCCAACCAGGCTTTAAAGAGAGCTCTTCTAGTTGCCGTACTTTTGGCAGTGCAATTATTAGCGGCATAGTTTTTGGACATGCCTTGGGAGGGACTGCTTGTAGCCTCCATGTTGCTGAAACCTCCTCTAGCCTGTGCCTAGACATATTGGAAAGAGTGCAGCGACAAACAGACATGGCTGACAAGTCTCTCCCCATGGCAAGCAAAGCTGAAGGTTTCTCAAAGCCTTTCCTTTGCAGACCAGAGGTGGAAGCAAATTACTGGATTCAGTGTTGTGTACCCCATTCATAACCAGGCATCAAGGAAAATCGTGACTTAAGTGCTATTATCCCGACATGCTACTTTCCTATACAAAGAACATTTTGTAAACTGGCAAAGAATTTTTTTTGAACTTCATATTCACATCTTTGAACTTTTTTTTTTATTAAAAAGACTACAATTTACTTTTAAATATTTAACCATAGAATAAACACTGCTACACAATTCAAAGCCTTCCACCTTCTCTAAATGACCTCAGCCATCTTCCAGCCTTCAGGAAGAGGCACCTGTCCTGGAGCAGCCTGGGATTGCTCTCGGCGGAAGAAAAGGAGAAAGCTTAGACCCCCAGAGAGAAAGGCCAACACAACATGTGCTTCTTGCACCAGAAAGAGAAAGCTAGGGCTTCTGGTGGTGGCGGGGAGAGAGAAGAGATCTGTGTCCAGGACACAACGCAAGGGGGGCAAACTTTACACTCTGTGCCACATGGCTGCCCATTTCCAAAGTGCAAACATTAAAAGGAAGCTGTTTTTAGCAGCTGTCCTTCCTCAGTGTATGAGCGGGAAGGGATTCAGAAAACGACCGATTGGGAGCCAGTGGTGGCCAAGAAAATAATTTCGCTAACAGATCTCAAGAAATCTATTACCCCATGGCTGAAGAAGCCTGATTAGGAAGCAACCCTGATATTGGGGAGTAGGGGACATGGAATGGCTAAGCAAAAATGTATCCTTAAATGACCAAAACAAAAACTAAAAAACAACAGGAATTTTGCAGATGTATTTGGTATTTCTTTGTTTGCCTTTCATAATAGCAGACATCACTTTCCTTTTGGAAAGTGGTCTCCAAAGTGCAGAAAAATGGCTGATATTTTCTGCCATCCCAGGGGCAGGGCTGGCACTTCTAAAACCTAAACTGCACTAGCTCATGTGAGAATATGGACATCAGAAATGTCCTGCAAATATGAATCTTGAATGCTCTGTGAGAGACTGTCCAGTTTACAGTGTTATTGCTACTCCTGGTCCACAAATCCCTGGAGAACAGGCAAAAAAGAGATCTGCAGGGAGCAAAAAGCTTTTACTCAGCTGAGAAGGCCTTTGCCAGAGGCAAATCTTAGCCTTATAGTGCACTAACACTCACTCCAATGCAGGGGGGGGGGGAATGATGCTTCTATTCTATAAAAACCACTTCACAGTTGCAACTTAAATCTATACAATAAAAATCACTTTACAGTTGCAACCTAAAACCACCCATTCATAAAATCAGCCTTACAGTGGTTAACCAGATGGAGAAAAAAAACACCAATCTGCAAAGCTGTGCAAGCAGGACCTTCCACAGGCAGCAACCACCTTTCAGCGAGGAAAACCCCAACCCATTCCTCCTCCCAGTTGTCTTTTCTCCTGAGAAAACAAGTGGAAATGCTAAGACAGGGTGGGGGGAGAGCTCTAAAGCAGGAAGTCCCGAGGGCTTCAAAAGTGGAGAGCGGCAGCAGGCGAGGCCACAGCGCTTCCCTCACTTATAAAGGGTCTAGAACGCTTTCTGCCGACGCATCTCTTCTCAAACGCCCTGCTTTTCTCCCAAAGGCCAACCCAAGGACAACATTAAGTTGTACTCTGGACAGGGCGCCCCACTGGACAGGACTGGCTCCACCGGGTTTTCAGAAAAGGTGCCAATAAGCAGTTTTTTTGCATTTAAAGTGCAAAAGGGAAAAGGAAGGCTCATAGGCTGCCTCAAATTAGTATGTATTTTTCCAGATGTGTTAAAGAAGCTTCAGTCAGCCAGGCTTGACATTCAAACCAACCAGTCTAGGCTCCTGGCTCTTGGAGCCCAAATTGTAAGTATCATATTCACATTGCTGCAGAACCGAAACTAGGGTGAAGAAGTCCGGTTTCTCAAAGTAACAGGAAGGGGACTAGGTACTTGGAACTGCAGAAGCAGCTGCTACTTTGTGCAAACTGGGTGGAAAAAGCCCACACATGCCTTCCTTCCCAAAAGCAAAAGTACTCTATGTGGTATCAACTTCAACCCTGTTTTTTCAATTCCACCAAAGCTTTGAATGAAGAAAGCAGAGGAAAAGTCTGTCCTCAGCTGATTTCTTTATACAACCAATTCCTCCTCCCTGTTCAATGGAAACAAACAAGATTCTCCTAATGCTATTTACAATTAGACCCTCCTGCCCTCCACCCCCTACCCCGTAAAGCAGCTTAACTTTGTACTGCCTGTGCAGACATGACTGGTGGGTATGAGCTGCAGGTAGATATAGCTGAGGATGCAATATGTCATCTCTCCCCCACCCCCACCCCCGCCCAATAAAACAAAAGGAGACAAAGATGGACAAATTGCAGCAGTAGACCGAAAGACGCATCCTCGCTAGGAAGCATGGGCTGGACACAAAGCCCCAATGGGAAGGTCAACAGGAGGAAGAGGTGGCAGAGGGCGATGACTCACTATTCTGGACATTAACACTGTGAACATGAATGTTTTGCCCTCCCCAATCAGCATAATCAAAGCTTGCCATGGGTCAATTTGTCCCTCCTTGCAGCTACAGAATCTAAGAGAACAGAAGAACCTAGGAGCTGGGTGACCGTTCCTCTTCAGGAGGGGCAGGTGATGCTGCAGAAGTCTCAGCCTCTCCAGAAAGGCCCAGCTCTGCATTCATCTGCTCTAGCTCCCTCTGATCAAGCAGCTCGAAGTCATCAACTTCTTCTTCCTCGCCTGGTAGCAGGGGGGCTACTCCCCCCTCCTCACTCTCAGACAGCTGTGCCTGGAAGCTGAGTCTCTCCTCCGGCTCAGTAGGCAGGAATTCAGAAAGAGAAGGGCCCTCACTGTCCTCGGAAGAGCGGAGCAGGGCCGACAGGGTGTTCTGCACAACGGTACTGATAGCGGTAGTGACAATCTCTTGGCTCAGTGAATCAATGTGCAGCCCCAAGCCTTGCACAGAGGCAGCCTGGGGCTCTGGAACTCCTCCTGCCATTGCCTGTCCATTCCCATTGAAATGCGTATTTACAAAATGCAGGGGTGACGCCAGGCACAAGATGGATGGGTCCGAACTCACAGCTGCTGCTGCTGCTGCTGCTTCCTCAACAAGGTCCAGCTGGCGGGCAGCACAGGCAGGCACAGCAAAGTTGTCGTCCTCAGCCGGTGATCCCAAGTCTGTGGAATGAAACTCTTCCACAGAGGGAAACTCTGCCATGTCCTTGGAGAAAGACTCTTCTGGCTCACTGGGTAGGCTCTGCTGGTCCAGATCTGAAAAGCAGATTGGGAGGAAGCCAAAATGAATGCCATCTCTAAAAAAAAAAAACTTTGAACCGCTCAACCCTTATTCTTACTCAGCTGACTTGCCCAGGCATAGCTCTAGATCTGTTTTATTATACAATGTCATTTCTGAGGGTCCCTTTTTTCTTCCTCTGTATTTTCTTATTCTGAAATTACAGCAATGCTTGTTTGCATTTTCTCCACTTGAAGCTTTCCCCTACTTAGTCACAGTGATGCTACAGTGACAGTCTCACATTTAAGTTAATCACACACATAGAGAAAAACAAAACAAAACAAAACCAAACAAAGAGAAAAAATAAGGACAACAAAAACATTGTGGCACGTTAAAGACTAGCTGCTATATTTTAATGGGAGCTTTTGTGGAGAAGTTCACTTCCTCAGACATAATCAAACAGACAATCCTACTGTTGCTTTTCTTCCTCACTCAGTCACCTCACCAAGACAGAGCACAGCCTGTAAATGCAGGTGGCTGCCACAAAAGGCGACACTAGTGTAGTCAGAGTCATAAAACTATACCACACTGGCTATAATATAGTGTATATACAAATCAGAAAACCCCCTGTTCAAATCTTACTTCTACCATGATGAACATTAAATGGCAAGCACCTCTGCAGTGGTGGGATCACATGTCTGCACATAATTCCCAAACAAATTTCCATGACCCTCAAAAATAACCTATGTATACATATTTAAAAAGAAAAAAAGAAAAACTCATAGCATGTGTTCCCAGCCACTTTTATATGCAGCTATTAAAAACATGGCTTTACATCCAGGCCTCCCCCCCTGCCAGCATGACACTAGTGTAGTCAGAGTCATAAAACTGTACCACACTGGCTATAATATACTGTATATACAAATCAGAAACCCCCCTGTTCAAATCTTACTTCTACCATGATGAACATTAAATGGCAAGCACCTCTGCAGTGGTGGGATCACATGTCTGCACATAATCCCCAAACAAATTTCCGTGACCCTCAAAAATAACCTATGTACACACATTTAAAAAGAAAAAAACTCATAGCATGTGTTCCCAGCCACTTTTATATGCAGCTATTTCATAGTCAAAACACTTTAAATTTACTTAGTGCTCATTTATGACGTTCAGGAGTGGTATGATATACCAGATGGGCGGGATATAAATCAAATCAAATCAATCAATCAATCAATCAATCAATAATAATAAAAATAATATTTCGTAGTCAAAACACTTTATATTTACTTAGTGCTCATTTATGACGTTCAGTATGTATTTTTATCTAACACTGAATTTTTAAAAAACCTAATTGGCTGAACTAATTCAGGAAATTCTATTATCATCCTGAGTACTTTGGTTTCTGATGACACATTACCCTGAAGTACACAGTCCAGCTGAAGAATTTATGAATCAGTCAAGACAATCAAGGTAAAAAAATGTTGGATTTACGAATATGTTACTGTTCTTTAAGATTCTGCCAGTAAACGAGCAGGAGAACCTCATGGACTAGCTTCAGGCAATCTAGCATGAAGTATTATTCTTTTTGCAGAGCATGTTAGAATGCTCAAAACCATTTATATTCCCTGCCTTCTTTTAATTTGTTGGGTCAGTACTGCTGTCCTCACACTGGTTGATGATTGCAGAGGAGATGAGATGATTGCAGAGGAGATGAGAGACTCTTCAGGTTCTGTGCGTGCACGTGGCTCCAGCAGCCAAGATAAAAGAGCTATGAATCTCTTCTAAAGAGTACAGTAACTGAATTAGAGAACACTGCAGGGTGACCAGTGGTAAGGAAATCACTACTATGGCAACCTGAACACATTTCTCTCATCTGATTTGGAGTTATGCAGGATCTGGCCTCGTTTGTATATAGATATTATCAGGTGGTACCAGGATCCTGAGATAGGTTAGAAAGGACTTTTACCCAAAGTCCTGGAGTGCTGCTCCCAGTCAGTGTTGGCAATTTTGGGCTAGACAAACAAAGAGTCTGATCCAGGATAAGGCAGCTTCCTAGGTTCCAGTATTGTTAAGATACTGGAGTCTGCACTGTAATGAGCAGAGGTAGTCCAGTTTCTTGTGAAGACACCTATTTTCAGAGGTCGTAAGTGGTGCTGTATTGATCTTTTTACAGCCCTTCCTCCTTTCCATAAATCCCAAGCTCTGCAGGCATCCTTCCTATCCTAGTTTCCTTTCTTTTAAAGTGTCTGTTAGGAAACACACAAAACCATATGACAATTCCCAGTGGATGGGGGGACATTTGGGTATGAGAAGTACGAAAATGGCACCTTCGGACACATCTGTCAGCTGTGGTGTGGTTGCTCTGGAGACAGTAAAGCCCCCACTCTCTAGGATAGAGGCTTCTTCATCTGAGAGCTCTGAGTCGGTGATTGCCAGTGCCAGAGCTGTCTTCTTCACATCCACCTGTAAAAGGGAGACATTTATTCAAGGTTTGGCTTGGCTCACTGATAACATGTGCCCAAGAACTAGAGGCAAAAGAATTCAATTTGTGGTGGAGCCACAGACCCCACCTGCTGGCCTTGGGCTTTCAACATCTCTGGATGCTGAGGCAATGCCTAACTCCAGACTTTACTCTCTTGTGGAACTATCCATCATTACAATCTGTTCAAAAAAGACTGTACACAGACAGATTCCAGAATTGCATTTTGCCCGAGCCTATTCAGCAGGTTAAGGGCAACACTACTTATGATCCTATTTCTTGAAAGAAAGGAAGTTATTTCTTTGAAAAAACAAAACAAAAACACAACTCATATCGAGGGTGTTTGGAACATAGGGAATCAGCAGTTGTATCTTCATTTGCCATCCTTATAAAGCTCCAGAAGATTTAGGGTGCAACTATGTTGTCTAAAAATTTGACGGTTGTCTTAGGGTACTACTGTACCAATTCGTGTCACATGCTCTTTGTGTTGCTGTTTCAGTCCTCATGGGATAGCCTCAACTGAACTGGACTGATTTAGTGCAAGGGACCACCTCTCTCTTTAAATCATCTTAAACAGACGCTGGCTGGCACTTTGATATACCCAGTGGTCTGTCTTGACTATGTCTTTATTCTGTCCTTGTCCATAACTGTTTTGTCTAGAGTTTTATATTTTCTGACCTTTTGCAGTGGGAGTTTCTTTTCGTTTCTTCAAATTTGCAAGTAAAAATTCTCTCTCTCTCTCTCTCTCTCTCTCTCTTGATTCTGTCCTTGTCCATAACTGTTTTGTCTAGAGTTTTATATTTTCTGACCTTTTGCAGTGGGAGTTTCTTTTGTTTCTTCAAATTTGCAAGTAATAATTCTCTCTCTCTCTCTCTCTTGATTTTAAGTGGCATAGTGCTGCATCACTGTTTCAGATAAGTGTATTTTTCTGCAACTGAAATTTCCCTGTCATTTCCTCTGACAATCTACTATTAATAAGAAACCTTCCTGTACAGTAATTGGCAAACCTTGCAAATGCAACAATAAAAAAAGAGAGCAACATTAAAAAAATCCCAGAAAGAATGCAGATATATAAAAAAAGGAAAGAAAAAAGTTGGCATAGTATTTGTATAGAGAAGCTGAAGTCACCATATGGAAGGCAAAACACATGTCAATAATAAACCAGCATGACTCCAATGCCTATGTGATAGAGCGTTAGTTTAGTGGTTTATAAAAAAAAAATTAAAAAGAGAAACCATTTGGACAGCTGGCATAATCGCTGGTTTCCCAATGGGGTAGCATCCCACACCAACTCATCACCAAGAACTCAGCATAGGGAATACCCCTTGCACAGAGTACAACATGGCCATTTATACAAGCAAGGTCAAAAAACAGTGTGATGTAGAGTGATTTAACCTTCCAGCAGGTGTTCAAAGAGAAGTGACTCCTTGAAGAAAAGTATGTATTTTCCTCACACTCATAATAATGTCTAGTCAAGAAATTTTGAACTGATTTGGATTGTGCTAAATCCAGATTGACTGGAAAAGTAATTGCAGTGTACAATAGTCTTACCCTTAGCTGAGGCTGTAATAAGCAGTTATATTTAAATATATTATTTATATGGCTTGGTAAGTATGTGGTGGAAGAGGGTGAGTGAGAAGCATGGAATGTTGGCAAGAATGGTTCTGGGGAAGAGGAGTTAATGATTCTGGAGAGATGTGGATTCCCTTCTATATTTACCATTATTTATTTACTGTAATATCTTAAACAGCTACCCCTGTGACTGAACATGGATTTGAACCTTGATCCAACACTCACTAGATGAGTTCTAGGTCTGATCAATGCTGGAAATACTGGAAAACAGTCATCCTACAAGACCTAAGCCTTTCTCCAAATGAAGAGAGGCCAAATGCCTGTGGCCCTCAACAGAAAGGAATCAGAACAAGGAAACTGAGAGAGATGATATTCCAACAACTGGAATTCCCAAAGGTTACTAAGTTTCAACAATGTCAGTTTGATTGCGCCTTCTCTCTAGAAACTGATGCATCATGACAAATCCTTAGATCACCCTGAATGCAGTACCCATAGTTATAGCCACACAGCCCCCTGATGAAAGCACCCCATGCCTGGTCTCCAACTCCAACATCATATCCTTGCAAAGAAGCTCTTAGCCTTCCTTCTGATGATAGGGGCATGATGCTCCACATCATCATGTGCCCCTTCCCTTGCTCTTACCACTGGAGAATAGCCAGAGAGTTCCGCCTCACTCTCACTTTCTGTCTCTGCCATTGGTTCACTATCAGCTTCCGGCTCATTCTTTCCTTGACGTTCTGTGGAAGAGAACAACAGCAGCAAAGCTTTACATAATATCTGTGGGGAATCACACACAGAAAAAGGGACAAAGGAAAGATTATCAGAAACATTACACATTCTGTGCTTCCTCACAGCAATTGTCTCAAAATCACACAGGCACCCAGCCATCTCAATCCTTCCACATCTTGCTCCCAATGAATTTTCAACCTTCATTCAACCCAGTCTCTCTTTAGCCATTTTCACTTCCTAAGGCTCTTCTCCTTTCCCAGCTATACACTTCATCAAAGGCAAAGTATTCCATGCACTTGGAAGGCTATTTTCTTACTTTTCTTTTCATGTTTAAGATGCAAGGTCTCCACCTTCATTGTGTAATCCAGTTTCATCAGGATAGGCTCCAAACGGGTATACATCCTTTGGATAAGCTCATGGTATACCACCAGTGGCCACAGCAAGATGCTGAGCACTAGAGAAATGGAGAAAGGCTAGAGTGTGTTAGAAACATACATATATTAGGGCAATGAGGCACCACATGTTCCCCCACTTCCTGATGCTCAGCAACTCCAGCTTACTAAACGTAATCATTCCCCATGTGCCATACCTGAGACCCAAATTTTTACAAAGTGTCAAAAAGAATTCTAGAAGCAGAATTAGTGAGACATAACATTTCAGTCTTAAAAGCCCAAGCCAACTCTTAAAATGAATCCAGGTTCAATCTCGCATAGATACAGAATCAGGAAAGGAAGCAGAATCCAAAATTCAAATTCAAGAATTTGTAGAAGCAGATGCTTTGAACATATTGGAAACGGGAAATACTCATCCTTATTCCCTACCCCCTGCCCCTATATTCCATGGCAAAGCTGAGAGAAATCAATTGTTGCTTTAGATAGATCCATTGCTGTCATCAGATGAGTACCTCCACCCCGGCTTTACAACTGGGATTACAGAGCACTACTCTGACTTTTATTCTGACTGATGAAAAGTGGGGCAGGTAGGGACTGTATTATGTACAGTGGTGCCCCGCTTGACGATTACCCCATTAGACGATGAAAGCGCTTGACGATGAGTTTTTTGCAATCCCTATAGTATTGCAAACCGATGATTCTAATGGGGTTTTTTTGTTTCACGACGATCAACTCCCTGCTTCGGGAACCGATTTTTCGCTTCACGATGATTAAAAACAGCTGATGGTCGGGTTTTCAAAATGGCTCCCCACTGTTTTCCGGACCTATTTCCGGAAGACAATGATGCAAAATGGCTTCCCTATGGAGGATCTTCGCTGGATGAGCAGGTATTTCCCCCATTGGAACACACTGACTGGTTTTCATTGCATTTCAATGGTGTTTTTTTTCCTGCTTGACGATTTCGCTGTACAGTGATTTTCCTGGAACGCATTATCGTCGTCAAGTGGGGCACCACTGTACTTTATTCCCTTTTTTTTCTAAATAAGGCTGATGTACAAGATTCCTGGCCATAACCACAGCACTCATTGCAAGTTGTCTTAAGAAATACAGTGAACTCAGGGATACTCACAGACAATGTAGGAGATCATGATTCCTGGAACGTAATGTCCTACGATCCCAAAGATCAAGCATCCTGAACAGACCCTGGCACAGAACTGGAGGAACAAGACAAAGAAGCACAGCTTAGCAACCCTAAAGAGTTCTCAGTTCAGTACTGTCAATTGAAGACATCCTCTATGTAGCAGCTCCAGGTGACATTCCAATCCTAGGACTCCCATTTTTTAAAAGTTCATTGCTTAGATTTACTGAAATCACTATTTTGCACATTCCCCATATGGGCTACAGCATGCCACTGCTCCTGCTAGCAGCTACCACAGGTTAGACCCTTAGGGGGAAATGCAGAGATCAGCAAGTGGGGATGTAGCTAAATCAGAAGCAAAAACAACTGGACTGATTTTTTTCTGTATCAACTCCAAAATTCTGAAATTGCACCGGAAGTGATCTAATCATGGTAGAAGGCAGAGAGAACCACAACTCAGGACACTGCAGTCGATATGACTGTATTTGAATAATTGTAGTTTGTTGTACATGAAAAAAAAATAAAACATCCCCTGAAAATAAGCCCCAATGTGTTATTTGGAGCAAAAATGAATATAAGACCCTGACTTATTTTGGGGGAAACACAGTATTATATGTGAGGCAGCCCCAGGTGCCAGTGCAAACGTATAGGAAGCCAAAACTAAAAATAACATAGCAGAGGTTTTTCTCCAGTAGGTAAGTACCCACGTTGCAATTCCTTCAAATGAGAGGCCCTCTTGATCTCCTGCTTACCTTGGCAGGATATTGCCTCTTATACTGCAGTAGCTCTCGCAGGTACAACCTGAAGGTAATCCAGATTTCAGCCAAGCAACGACAGAGTTCAGGGACACTGAGCAGGTGAGGTTGTGCTCCTGCCAACTCATTGTCACTACATCAATGGAAACAATATTTCAGTTAACCAGATCTTGCAGGTACACAGCCATGCTGCAGTTAAAGGAGCCACAAGCTAAGGAAAAAGACTTCATACAGGTAGATAATTATAGCAGGATCATGCAAGCCATGTTTGGCATGATAAAACAGGAATAACTAAGAAGTTCCTGATGCTGCAGGTCCCAATCCTACATTAAAAAAAAAAATGCCAAAAGCTCATTCTAGAGCAAAAGGAATTCAAGAAAGCATATTTCAGGTCACACTGCAGACAAATCCAGGTACTCAGTCACTCTGTGTAACACAGGGGGACACCAGACAAGGTAAAAAGAAAGCATGTACAGTCTCTATTCCTAGGACCATTTTAAAAGCAAGCCTACCTGTCTCCACCAGGTTCTTCTAAGGGCTGTGCTGGAGAAGGACAGAGAGGTAAAAAGGATCAGTCAGCTAAGTGAGAAATATATGTTAAATCAGGTATAGGCCTCCAGGTGTTGGGAGACTGCAACTGCTGCTCTCGCTCACTGTTCGCTAAGCTTGGCAGGACTGACAGAAGTTGCAGTCCAACAACATTGTGAGGTCCACACATGTCCCACCCTCATGCTCAATTTTTTTCCCTTTGGCAACCTGGCTCGCAGCCATTATTCTGCATAGCAGGAAAAGTCACCCTGGGAGATGAGATGAAGGGAGGCAATTCTTGAAAAGCACTTCTGAAATGTCACAGTAGAAGGACAAACACACACTACATAGCCACTGAATATGTCTGCGCTCAACATACACTAATGAGAATGTCAGAAATTGAAACAGGTGGAACTCCCAATTGACACAACTACCAGTTCGGGAACAAAACTACAAAGTCTTGAAAACCTACCAGTCCCCTCTGGGCAGGAGTGTTATTACAAATATCGGTATGCGACAATTTCAAATGGTTTGCTAAATGCATCTTCCTTTGTGGCTAGAAACACAATTTGTATGGATAGAGCGGGCTTACCAAATGATCCTGTACACAGATAGACTGTATCTATGAACAACCTCAGATCACACTCTCTTATCCATGGTACTTCCTTTTATGCTTGCAGGTGAATACCCCAATAAAGTATCTTGAAATGATTTAAAAATAAATAAAAAATGAGAAGTTTATATATGATGCAAATTGATTTCCATTTGTGCTACTGCATTTGGGTATATGATTGTGGATTGCTTTGTCATGGAACACAAATACTCAGCATTATAAAGTCACCTTAGGAGCATCTAGAAGTATGCCCAGCAGTTTGAATCATACGAAATGAATCACAGACTCATTGAAGAATGACATTGGAAGGGGACGATAAGGCCACTAAGTCCAACTGCCTGCTCAGTGCAGGAATCCAAATCAAAGTATATCTGACAGATGGTTGTCGAGTTATCTCTTGAATGCCAATTAGGAGGTTCTTCATGATATTCAACTGAAATCTGGCTTCCTATAACTTGAACCCATCATTACCTGCTCTGCACTCTTGATTGACTGAGAACAGAGACTACCCCTCCTCTATATGACCATATTGCAAGTAAACACATCCAGTTCTTTCTGTTTTTCCTCACAGGGCTTGGTTTCTGGTCCCCTGATCATCTTTGTTGCTCTTCTCTGAACTTGTTCCAGTTTGTCAGGATCCTTCATGAAGTACAGTGTCCAGAACTGGATACAGTACTCAAGATGAAGCCTAATCAGTGCTAAATAGAGAGGAACTACTACTTTATGGGATTTGGAGACTATACTTCTGTTCATAGAGCCTAAAATAGCATTTTCCTTTTTTGCAGTCACGTCACACTGTCGGTTCATATTCAGCTTGTGATCTACATTCCAAGATCCTTCTCACATGTAGTCTTACTGAGCCAAGCATCCCCCCAACATCTTGTAGGTCTGTGTGCAAGTGTGTGTTCCTTGATTATTTGTTTATCAGTTTCAAGCTGCAATCCTGTCCCCCTCCATTTGTACTTCACATTTGCCCAGAGAATCACACACTGTCTTATGGGAAAAGACTGAGCTTAAGTAGGAATTGAGCACTTGTGTCTTTTCTCTATCATCTGCTATCATTTTTCCATCCTCACTGAGTAGCTGAGTCACTATTTCTTTTTTGTCTTTTGCTATGCACACACCCGAAAAATGCTTTTTTGTTGTTTTTAGCATCTCTTGCTAACCTCAGCTCATTCTTAGCTTTTGCTTTCCTAACGACGTCCCTGCAATTCTTTGCTACCTCTCTGTACTCTTCCTTTATGGCCTGGCCTTCCTTACATTTCCTACATGTGTCATTTTTGTTGTTTTTCAGTCCTCTCTGAGCTTTTGTGAAGCCACATTGATCTTTCTTGCTGTCTTCCACTTTTTTTCTTGTTGGGATTGTTTGTAGTGCTGCTTTGCAGAACCGTTTAAAGCCCTTTTAAAATACTCCCACCTTTTTTGGATTCCCTTTCTTGTTATGATCTCCTGTCATGGGAACTTATCATTGCTGGATTTATTAAAACTGGCTTTCTTAAAATCCAGTGTACATGTGCAGCTACACTCTCCTCTTGTTTCCTTTGAAATCAACAACTCAGGTAGAATATGGTCACTTTCCCCCAGAGTTCCACTTACTGACACATCTTCCACTACTGGTGAGAATCAAGTCAAGGACAGTTAATCATTCAGTTTCTTCCTCCATTTTTCATACGAGAAAATTACAACCACATAAGCCACAAATTTCTTCGAAGGGCCATATTTGGCAGAATTTGTCTCTCAACGCTTATTAGAATAATTGAAATTTACTACATCACAGCTCTTCGAAATTCTTGTACTGTAATTTGTTTTTCAAATGTTTCCTCCATATTTTCTCCTTGATTGGGAGGTTAGTAGTAGACTCTAATTACCATGTTCGATTTATTTTTCACCTCAGCTATAGTAACACAGATGTCAATGGGACAACAAAGCTCATCTTCCTATATTTCTGGAAGGAACATGCATTTTTAACACCTAGTGTGACACCATCTAGCTTTCCATTCTTACTGTTCTTTTTGAACAATTGATATATTTCAAGTGCTGTATTCCTGTCATGGGAGTCATCCCACCAAGTTTTATATTATCCCTATCAAGTTGTATTTACCCTCCTGAACTAAGACTTCCAGTTCTTCTTATTTGTTTCCCAAACTTCTGACATTTGTTATAGACATTGGAGATGGTGCAATATGTGGCCTGCTTTCCTTTGTAAATTTTTATGAAGATTATTATTGGGCCACATTACTGTTGCTTGGTTTGTTCCTCTTATTGTGCATAAGCCTTCATGTATATTATCTCTGAGCTTGTATCTTCCTCCTCCTTCCGATTCAGTTTAAAGCCCTCCCGATGAAGCTCTTCATGCTCTGGCCAAACACGTTCTTCCCAATCCTTGTGAGGTGCAACCCACCACTTGAATTGCAAAGAAGGATGGTGAATGATCTCCAAAGTCCATCAAATGTGAAGCTCATCTGATTTGACTGTTTGGTGTGGCTAACATGCCATGTAATTATTTATAACATGCTGTGAGTTGTGCACAGTCCTTACATACTAGAGTGCTAGGGGGCTAGTTCATGGCTCTCCTCTTAGCCACAAACACAGACCTGACAAGCTAGTTAATAGTGCACTAGAGCAGTGGAAAACAATCCTGTTAAGTCTGTGACCCAGATTCCAGGCAATCAGCCCTTACCATAGGGAGCCAATCACAATCTTCCTCCACCAACATAGAGTCTGCTGTATATTTGAGCAACGCAGCATTCACTAGCCATGTAAGACCAATAAAAAAGAAAAAAACATATGATCCTTATACACATTCTGAAGGCAAGGATGGGTGATCCTTAATCAGACTATTTTAAAATCATGAATGTTAACTAGCCTCTGAGGCACAAAGCTGGGTGTGGTACAGAAGAAGCTAGCCTCTGAGCCTATACAGGATGTCCATCAGGCACAAAGCTGGGTGTGGTACAGAAGAAACATAAAAATACAAAAAATCATGGTCAAATGTATGCGGGCCAGACCCCTTGTTTAAAGCAAGTTCCAAAATGGGGGCTGCAGACTCAGGTCAGAGGTACAGGTTTGTGATTCCACCGCTGGTGGAGTGGATTATAATGTTCCTCCCAATATGGTTAGACAAAGGGTTTTCAGTCATCCAGCATCCTCTCACCCTCTTACTTTGAAACATACCATTTCTTTGGGGCTGGAAGAAGAAACACCAAAAGAAACCATGTGTTTCAATAGAGGGCCATGAGAGGAAGATTCTGAAATAATTGACCCTTTTGTAGTTTAAAGCAGGAGACAAATAGCATTTCAATTTGATGGGGCAACCTTGACAAAACGATTCTGAGTTTATCAATCAAGATGGATGACAATTCTACTCAGCAGCACCATTAACCAAACAGGAAAAGAGTCAAGGTAGAAGTTCTCAATAGCAAGAGTGCAGAAAACAGGTCTTCAGCAAGTTTGGATGGCCTACTGTTCAGTTATAGAACATTATGGCAATAATACTATTTACCAACAGAAAACTAGAATAAAAGGATCTTAATTCAAGTCAAAGTCTCTTGACTCTGTTGCTTTAAAAGGAAATGTTTTAGCACAGAAATGATAAAGCTATAGTCATTACTGAAATTTGAGGGATATCCTTGGTGCAGTGCATCAGTCTGTGATATGGGAAACACAACCACCATAAAGAATTGTGAAGTCAAACTAGCAGGGTCCATCTTAATGCCGAAGAGGACAAGAAAGATCAACAAAAATCTATTTGGATAGCATTGTTTAATGAATACTGCTTGACACAGAGCATCTAATATTGCCTCCCACATTATTCTTCCAGGCACTGCTATGATCAGGTTGAGACTTGGAGGCACAGACATACTCATTAAATCAAGTCATTATTATATCAAGACAAAGGGCTGCCTCTAACATCTTATAATTCGTTTCTTTCTTGAAGAATTTACAGCAACATAATACATATCATTTAACAAAGTCTAATTTTTCAAAGCTTCATCACATCTTTACTACAGTCTCTTCCACGGCATGACAAGCTGGAAAGGCCAGTGCTGAGGATCTGGATCTTATGAACCAGAAAAAGATTTTATAGTTTGTACAAAATAACCAGCTGTGCTTCAGACATGTAAAATTTCCAAGACAGCTACTCTAAACTAATGGAAGGTTTGCTTAATGTGTAGTCCCAAGTGGCATCAACCTAGCCACGTAACACCATTTCTCAGGGGCTAAAGATAAGCCTAAGTTGACAATACACAGAGTGAACATATAATTACAGCTGGCACTGCCTGTCTTTGTACCTTTAAAATTTCTCAGCAGAGGAGTCTGATATTTTCTTTTACAAGCCAAGAGAAGTAGAGAGAAGAATATAAACAGGGGAGGCTATTCAAATGACTTTCGTCTGGAGTCTGCCTTTCAGTAGCTTCTCATGTGAACTAGTTTAGACTGTGTAAAGCTGCAAGAATACACCAATTATTTATAAACTACAGTGGTGCCTCGCATAATGATTTTAATTGGTTCCAAAAAAAAACGTTATGTGAAACATCGTTATGTGAAACACCATTACCCATAGGAATGCATTGGAAACCGGTTAATCCGTTCCAATAGGCACGGATTGCCGTCCTTAAGCGAAAAAACCCATAGGAAACATCGTTAAATGATACAATGTTTCCTCCATTGGAATGTATTGAAGCTGACTCAATGCATTTCAATGGCTTTGTGAAGTCAATTTTTGCAAATTTAAGTGTGTCATAAAAGGGTCAAAATGGTTTTAAATGCTTGGATTAGCTTCTGCACCCTCTAAAACGGATGCAAAAGTTAATTTGGCTTTGATCTGACTTTTCCTTAATTTATGGTGAATTTTTTCCCCCAACTTTTGACAGTTGTCAAAATCTGACAGCTCCATTGGTTCCTATGGGGGAAGAAAAAATTCACAAAAAAATTAACGAAGACTCAGCAACTGTTCTAAATGCTTGGATTCGTTAGAGGACCCCCTAATGTTTTAATTAATACTGCTTGATACAGAGCATCTAATATTGCCTCCCACATTATTCTTCCAGGCACTGCTATGATCAGGTTGAGACTTGGAGGCACAGACATACTCATTAAATCAAGTCATTACTATATCAAGACAAAGGGCTGCCTCTAACATCTTATAATTCGTTTCTTTCTTGAAGAATTTACAGCAACATCATACATATCATTTAACAAAGTCTAATTTTTCAAAGCTTCATCACATCTTTACTACAGTCTCTTCCACGGCATGACAAGCTGGAAAGGCCAGTGCTGAGGATCTGGATCTTATGAACCAGAAAAAGATTTTATAGTTTGTACAAAATAACCAGCTGTGCTTCAGACATGTAAAATTTCCAAGACAGCTACTCTAAACTAATGGAAGGTTTGCTTAATGTGTAGTCCCAAGTGGCATCAACCTAGCCACGTAACACCATTTCTCAGGGGCTAAAGATAAGCCTAAGTTGACAATACACAGAGTGAACATATAATTACAGCTGGCACTGCCTGTCTTTGTACCTTTAAAATTTCTCAGCAGAGGAGTCTGATATTTTCTTTTACAAGCCAAGAGAAGTAGAGAGAAGAATATAAACAGGGGAGGCTATTCAAATGACTTTCGTCTGGAGTCTGCCTTTCAGTAGCTTCTCATGTGAACTAGTTTAGACTGTGTAAAGCTGCAAGAATACACCAATTATTTATAAACTATTTGTTTTAGTTTAACAAAAACTCCAAGCTGTTTTTAATACTAATTATCTCAACAATCCAACCATTTACTAGGCTAGCAATTATTCTCCACTCAGTGCCAGCTACTGAGCAGAGAACAACATTGCTTGCTACTCCTTGTTTTGGCCACCTTGCTACTCTAGTTGGCCAAAGCAAGAAGATATCAGTTCCAGCCCCACGGCTTGGTTGGCAAGAAACTACAGCCACAGAAAAGAAAGCAGGGTGGATAAAAAACAGTATTTTTTTCAAATCAAATTGATTTGAATTTTATAAAAATCACTCTTTAAATTAAATTGTTTAAGAATCTGATTTTTAACATTTAAATCGTGATTTAAATACATTTGATTTAAGCCAAATACATCCTGGCTGAAAGAGGAGGACTGAACTTGTCAGCATATAAAATTAACAATGTTGGTCCCTGTTCAGGAATTGCAATACAGTACTTCAATTGTAGAAATATCGCTAGGCCACTTACCTAAGAAGTCCGATAGGAACTGTGGCTTCCACCTCTCTAGCAGGAGAACACCAATAAGGCCAATACTGAGGAGGAACAAAGGACGCAAAGAAGTGGAGGAGAACAACCTGGAAAAGGACAAAGAAAGGTGCTAAAAAGGATAGTAGCAAGAAAGCAGCAAGGAGTTATAACTAGAAAGCCATATGACTCAATGGACTGTAATATGTTTCTTGTCATTATGCGTTATCAAGTTGCTTCTGACTATGTTGAACCTATGAATGCACAATCTCCAAAATATCCTGTCCTCAACTGTCCTGCTCAGCTCCTGTAAACTCATGTCCATGGCTTCTTTTAGGGACTCGGTCCATCTCATATGTGGTCTTTCTTTTTTCCTGCTACCTTCCACCTTTCCCAGCGTTATTATCTTTTCCAGAGAATCCTGCCTTCTCAGGATGTGCCCAAAGCAGGACAACCTCAGTTTCAACATTTTTGCCTCCAGGAATATTTCAGGCTTGATTGGATCTAGGACCCACTGGTTCAACTTTCTGGCAGTCTATAGTATATTCAAAGGTCTCCTCCAACACCACATTTCAAACAAACCATTTTTTTCCTTGTCAGCTTTTGCATCCATACACTGTAATTGGAAATACAAGAGTGTAGATCATCTAAATCCATTATTTACATATCCCACATATATCTCCCCAAGTCCCTTGGCACATAGTTCTGTTGTTACATGATGACAAGCTGCATCTGACTTACAGCAACCCTCACAGGATTTTCAAGGTATTTAATGAGGGGTTTTAATGTTGTTATATCCTATTTGAATCCAGGTCTCCTACATTCTACTCTGGCACTGTATCCACTACATCCCACTGGCTCTAATGTCTCAGGTATGTATATTTATTATTATTTATTGGCATGTCAAGATCTTGAGTCTAGGAAGATTTATGCACAATGAAGCTCCCCTGAGCGTGATAGGAGAAATACTTCTCCAGTTCTCTTGACTTTGTCTGTTCCACAGCTTTTTGGGACAGTTTTGCCTGTTCCACATCTTGCAGATGACATGTGGCAGGCAAAGCATTTGGGAGCAGGCAAAGTGACTAAGCTTAATCAGGGAGGCCAGCAGCAAGCGAATAAGGTTTCTCACTGTAATCTCTGAACACTAATTTAATTTAACAACAAAACTCCCTTTTCTCACTGGCCTTCATGGAGGCAACTATGGAAGACACCCCTGCACACAGGAGAGGAAATTCCTATGGGCTAGCAATTTTCTGTACCTGTCTCTACTATCCATGCTTTCTAAATGTTGCTGTGTGTGCAGGGCAAGGTAGGCAAAAAAGTGAGAATGTGCTAGCATTGCACATTATGCCACAACCTAAGGTACATTCTCAAATATCATTTTAAAGTTTTCAAGGGATATATTCCAGTACTATCCATAAGTTATTAATGCAGTATTTAAAGAGTCTTTTCACCTAAGGACTGAAAGGTCTGCAGGTACCGTCACCTGGATTGTTACAGTGGTGACAATTAATAATCTGAAATATTTTTAAATAGTTTGTCTGCCACCATAAAAGGTGCTTCTGACTTCTTGTGCTTTTCTCTTTACATTTAGCTTCAGGAGTTATTTTATTTTTGAATAATTAGACACAGGAATATTCTCCCCCCGGTATTCACTTCTTTTATCACTATAAAACATTAAAGATGTTACCAGATATAACAACAATATACCATTGCTTTTTTAAGTACAGGTTTCTACAACAGCAGCCTTCAGAAGTGTACTGCCAATCTCAGCATGGCTCCAGCCAATGAGTCGGATCTGCTGATAGTTCGCCCATTGTCCCAAAGCATAAACAGGATGTTTTCCCTTCTTGCAGTTTGCTGGATTCTACTATCCACGTTTGCTAAATGTTGCTGTGTGTGCAGGGCAAGGTAGGCAAAAAAAGCGAGAATGTGCTAGCATTGCAGTTCTCTGAGACTATAGGCTTAACAAGGGCTCAACTGGTGGTGGGCGACCAAAGCTTGTTAGGCTTATTCACAGTCTGGTACATTGCCAGGAGTTACTAAGCTACCAGATCAAGCTGCGATAGCACAAACCACATGGCGTCTATGCAGTGAGTATAAAAAAGTTCAAGTAAAAAAATAACCCCGGGTAAACTTCTAGTTATCTGCCAATGCTGGTAGCAGTCCCTGTTTATTAGACGCCAAATCCTGGAGGCAACTCTTGACACCACCCCATCAGGGAGAGGTCTGTTTATGCTTCATAAGTGAAGCAGCAAGGTTACTTAATGTCACACCAGTGCTGAGTCCCGCTTCCTATGCAGCATTCATTTTTAGATCACACAGAGGACACTGAAATACATGCATCAATGCAAAGTATTTTAGGGCTTGCATGAGACTCAAACACCCTCAACACAACTCCAGTGCTGGACTCAGGACAATTTTATTTCATAAAGGAGAAAGCTCATCACTCAGTAGTACAGCATATGCTTTTCAAGTATCTCAGGAGACAGGACTTGGGAGGACCTTTCTCTGTGACAGGAAGTTAAAGTAGGCAGTAATGAGCGAGAAGAATCTTGGTGTGACTATTAGTAAGGCAGCTTCACAATCAGAACACATGTTCATATGAATACAGTGGACCCTCTACTTACAGAATTAATCCGTATTGGAACGGTAACTGCAAGTCGAAAAGTCTGTAGGTTGAATCTCCATTGACCTACAATGCATTGAAAACCAATTAATCCCATAACTGGCAGTTTTTATTCTATTTTTGTTCCATTTTGGTTTTTTTCTGGTCTGTGAACACATGTTCATATGAATATGGAGTTTGCAGGACTATACCCAGAAGCAAAGCTGTTCCTAGTTTTTTCTACTAAAGCACCCCGACCTCATTTTTCTAAGCTCAATTATTTACTGTCTCTCAGTGCAAATTCACCAAGCATCAGGAAACATTATTTAGAACACTAGATTCCTGCTCAGATATCATAAAGATCGTGTCTTAAATGCACTTTCTACTTCTTGTTGTTTCTAAACACAGGCTGCCAGGCTGATGGAAGAAGAAAGTTGCCAGAACAGAGTAAAAGTGTGGTGTGCAGAGATGTGCTGCTAGAATCATTCACTTTCAGGAACAGCAGTATTAGCTAGACCTAAGACAATCAAGAAGCTTTTTTCTGGTCCTCCAAAGATAAAATAAAAAGACAAAATATAGGTGATATCAAGATCTGTAGTGCTTCTGGAAACACCAGATTCCTGCTCAGATATCATAAAGATCATATTATGTCTTAAATGCACTTTCTACTTCTTGTTGTTTCTAAACACAGGCTGCCAGGCTGATGGAAGAAGAAAGTTGCCAGAACAGAGTAAAAGTGTGGTGTGCAGAGATGTGCTGCTAGAATCATTCACTTTCAGGAACAGCAGTATTAGCTAGACCTAAGACAATCAAGAAGCTTTTTTCTGGTCCTCCAAAGATAAAATAAAAAGACAAAATATAGGTGATATCAAGATCTGTAGTGCTTCTGGAGTTTCAGTAGTGAACCAGCCAGATGACCTCCATGCACATTGTACCCGCCATCAAACAACAATTCATCTGTGAACTTGAGAGATTAATAACCAGGGTGAAGAAATTTCAGCACATCTTTCCCATTCTAGCCACACTTCATTGGCTACTGGTTCGTTTCCATATCGACTTCAAGGTTATGATGATAACATTCAAAGCCCTAAATGGTTTAGGACCCCGGTACCTAGCAGAACGCCTACTCCCAGCCAGATCTGTCCATAATACCCATTCTTCACAGGCAAGGCAGTTGAGGGCCTTGACCCCAAAGGAGGCCAGGAGCGAAAGAACAAGAAGCCGAGACTTCTCAGCATTCGCCCCTCGCCTATGGAACAATCTGCCTATGGAGATATGCCTGGCACCCTTGTTGGACGGGTTAAATGAGCATTGAAACTTTGGCTCTTCTGTCAGGCTTTCCCTGAGCATTAAGTTGCTGATTGCTTTCCTCTTACCATTCTTTCTGCCATCCTTTCATCATCCTTTCTACCATCTTTATACTCATCTGTTTTAATTTATCCTACTAGTGATTGTATTTATTGAATGTTTGTATTATTTTATTTTTATTGTGTTTTAATATTGTGTTGTTTGTCTTGTTAGCCGCCCAGAGTGGCTGCCAGATGGTGCGGGGTATACATCTAATACATAAATAAACATAATCAAATATTTTGCAAACCCTCATACTTCATTCATCTGAGAGGTTAGCTGCTTTTACCAGAGTGATCCCAATTTGCAGCTGAGATAATTCTATGCTACTGATTTTTTTGCAGTCAATATATGTAGGATACACTCTCTGTACAGTACTATGGATCACACTGTGAGAAAAGTCCCTGCAAATATGTTTCTTTTGGCTATGAATAAGCAACATGTGTTGTCCGGCAATATCTGTGCCCTCCTTTGCTAACAAAATCACACTGAAACAATGGCTTGACATGTAAACAAGGGATGGTTCTTGTTTTAACATTAAGAAGAAATCTCAATTGGAAAGGGAGTATGCAAGAAACAGTGCAGGGTGGATTTGATTTAAATTTTAAATCAAATTCATTTACATTTTTAAAATTTATTTTCTGATGATTTAAATAAAAAAGTTTTGTTTAAACTTTGATTTAAATCAGCTTGATTTAAGAAATCATCGATTGTGTGTGTGTGTGTGTGTGTGTGTGTGTGTGTGTGTATAGCAATGGAGACTACAGGGGGGGAAATGGAGACTGCACACCCTAGTGGAAGAGAGAGGTGCAAATATGACTCT